TCCCTATGACATTTATTTCTTCGAATTTAATAATATCATTTTAATAGATCTAAAACTACAACTATTTTAGATTATGAGTGAGTTATTTTTGTTTTGAAAATTGAAAAAAATTCCAAACGCCATTCTTCTTTTAAACCTATGTGTCAACGTTAATGGATTCAATCTGAAAATGATTCAAAACGCGATAGAGTTCGCTGATTTTTTTTTAAAAATCCTCATCTTATTTATGATAGAAACAACAACCAAACAAAGTCGTTAGCAACCAACAATTTTTTTTTTACCAAAGTCGCAACCATTTTGGATACAAAAATATTTATCGATTTAAAATGTATTTCAAATGTAGATAAAAGTCATGGGATAGGCTGCGTTTTTGATAATATTTCAAAGAGCCGATGATTTTGATTTGATGACATCCTATTCTAAAAACCATAAAATGTTAAGCTTTCTTTTAATTCAAATACTTCTTGTTTATTACGTTTGTATCCTGAAAATGGCAACTAATGTAACATTCGTAACATTTGCAGTGCACAAAAATATGATCAGAAACTTTGTTCTTTAAACATTGCATTTATATATTTTAAACAAGTCATAGGCATGACGAAAACAATTCAAGTGGGTTCAGGAATTAAACAATAATAAATGCATTAAAGTAATGTATTAGAGTACAAATGCTAAATAAATGATCAGAAATAGATCACTATTAAGTTTGAACAGAACTCAGTTTTGAATCTTACACTGAAAGAGTGTAATATCGCACTCCTTATCCTTAGTCCATGGAGTTTTATTTCGCTACTTTATCAATATATTGAAATGCGTTGACGAGATTTTCTGTATTTATCATAAACATTTGCTTTTGATTTTTAATATTACCTATTTAAAATTTTCAAAACAATTACATTGTCAATTAAAATAAAATATTTTAAAATGAAATATACTAGAAATGTTTGATTAAAAAAGTGCTTAATTTTTAGGATCACATCATAGAATTGATTGTCTGAGATTGTAGAAACTGTGATATATTTTTTTAAAGAAATATGCTTTTGAAATAAAAATAAGATGCGTTGTTTGTCTTTTCAGAAGGCACTTAGAATTTGCTTGAGGGAAGACAGCACTAGTAAGCACATAGTGCACAGATTATTTGTGATAAGTTTTTTATTTTTTTTATTTCAAATTCAAAAGGATGTTGTATTTGGGATAAAAATGAGTTTCGAAAACTATAACTGAAATTAAAAATTTAAGTTAAAAAATTATACTTAATTTAAAACACTATATATATATTTTTTTATCTCTTTCTAGTTGCATCTTTTTATAGCTGATGCTTTTAGAATAATACATGATATCTATTTAAAAATAAACGATTCGATGATGGTGATAATAAATGATAAAAATAAACCGAGTAATATGAATATCAAATTATTGCAATAAAATTGACTAACATGAATAGAAAAATTTTCAAAGATCTAAAAAATAGTTTATATTTATTTCAAATATTAGTTTTTTAAAAGCATCTACATTATATTCAAGCTTTTGTTTCATATCTTGTAAAAATATGACATTAAAAATTAAATTACACTAATGTAGTATGTAATAAACATAAAATTTACTATAATAAAATTTTTAAAATTGTAGTAAATACAAGGAAATCAATTTTTTAGACATAGTTTTGCTTAGTGTTTAACTAATATTTCCATATTTTTTAATGAGGTTCAAAATACTAATCCAAGATCTCAGATAAAAAATATGATTTTTAAGTTCATTTTTTTCAAAATATCCTTATTTTTAATAATGTAGAATAGCACAGTTTTGAACTTTCCGCATCGGGTAATTATAAGTTTTAAATAAACAAAAAAATGTCTTACAACGCAGATAAATCATGAGTTACTGGAGCGAGCAATTGAGCATCTTATCAAATATTTCAGTTCGGTGAGTATCAACGATATATATGTGCATTATGAGCAGAGAATTTATTACACTTTAAGTTCTTTTTTAAGCGAATTTTTTTAGCCATTCTTCTAAAGTTAAAACAAAATTGAGGGCATAAGAAAGTTTGGGCATAGACCTCATTTAAAACTATTTAAAATTTAAAGACTAAAAGCAGCTATATAAAGTATTAAAAATGTACTGAATTCTAACTATTTACGAGTTATTACCATTATGTTTCATATGTACAGTGCATAAATCAGATTTAATTTGCAGATTTTAATGGTTACAGTCAAACTGTTTACATAATAATCTGTGAAAATATTTGCTTTGAAAATATAACTTAATTATACATTATTAATAACAATTTATTAATGTTTAGGCAAAACATTAATATAGACGAAAATAATATTCATGATAGCAAGAATGTTAAGTAAAGTTCACGGTTTCACATAGAAATTTTAATGAACTACTTTAAAAACTATTTATTTCATTAGATATGTAGATGTATTAAGCATGTTATTTTGATCAATTATTTTGCTACCGGTAGTATTTAATCCTACTAAAATTATTCGCAGAAAAAATAATCGTACTTATTCAGTTTACCGATTAAAATAGATAATCAAATTAACGTGATACAATTTTTTGAAGTGATTAATAACGAATGGGTGTATAGTCTGGATGAATATAACTTGGATATAATAATAAAATGACAAAGTAAATTCATTTACAGGATCGGGTTGTACAAGTATTTAAATTTTCATTTTAAAGTTTTATTTTAAAACATAAAGTGGAGAAAAAATATTTTAAATAAAGAAATAATGATAAAGAAATAGATAAAATAAAAATAAGTTCATTAAATATTAAAGACTAATTCACTGCTTTTGATTAAAAGTAAAATATCTTGGAAATCATTAAAATAACATAACAAATAATTTTACAAGAAAACATTTATATTTTTTATCCACTTTCAAAATGCAGAATTAAAAGAATTTCTTTACATCTTAGCTCTGGAATGGAGTTTTCAACAAAAATAAAGTGTTTCTAAGAATTATGAGAAGAAGCTTTAGTGTCGAAGAAAGACTTCCATTAAAAGAGTAAAAGATTTCGAAAACATTTTTCGCTATTTTAACTAAAAATAGAAGCAAACTTAGCTTCCGCGTTATATAAGAAATGAAAGAGTGCTAGTAATAGAGACGGGTTTTATTACAAGCATTAAGAAAGGGTTAAGTTACATTTCTTCTTCCTGAAGTTTGTTTTTCTGCTTCTAGCTCTAATAGTCTAAGTTTATCTCTATCTATTTAAGCGAAACAAAATTGATTGACTGTCATCTTTTTTTGTTTTTGGTTACTAATAATGTTTTTTTGGTGAATTTTGTGACTGCAAAATATTTAATGTCAGCTGTACGTTTTGGTTTAAAGTATGGATCATACACATTTATCAATTTAAAGTTGCTACTCATAATTTTGTTTATCTTAATATATTTTATATTACTTTATTTTTTCATCTTTATTTATTTCTGCTCATAGATATATTATATTGTTGAAAATTAAGTCTTTGGAACAGCAGCAAAATAAGATTATTTATTAGGCTTTATTTTGCCAATAATTAAAAGGGTACTAAACTAGTTTAAAGGTTAAAGACTAGTGAAAAGGTTAACTACGCTAAGTAAACCATTTGCCATTTTTTTAATTCTACATGCAAATAAATGCTGAGATTAAATACTATTAGTGGGAGACTCAAAGTTTTGAATAACTTATCGTTAAATCAAAGTTCTTTCTTGTAACATTAATTGAAAATTGTATTAATGAGGTGAATGAACATAATTTAGTTTCATTTACGAGTAATAAAGGACAAAGAAAGAAGAATTTGATGTAATTTTACATTCTCAATACATAAGAAAAACTGACAAAAAGATAATTTTGTTTTAAATAATTTATGAAGCGTTGTAATAGGAGCAAACATTATATGCATATTAACTTAACTTCCCATTAATCCTTAACTTCTGTCCTTTGATAAAAAAAAGAAGATAAATATATAATTATATATCTAAAAGCATATATTATTATAAAGTCATTTTTACAAAATAGCTCATCATGTTACGTTCCCCAACTGCAACTAAAATTATCAAGTTATCAATAATAATTAGCAAATGTAATAATGGTAGTTAAAATTATTATAAAATATTATCATAAATTCAGTTTCTAGTTTTTTTTAATATGAAACCATTTCCTTTTTTTGCATACCATAATTATTTTTAATATACTTAAACTATTTAAACTTATGTAAGTACGTTATGTTTAAATTACAATCGTACCTAAAATAATTTGTATATACCACATTATATTTCTTTACTTTCATAATTATTAAGTTATTAAGTAAAATTAATTTTTTTATTTACAATGATTAATTAAAATTATTATTAAATTGTAATTTACTCAGTATGTTCTAAGTACATTCTTATTATTTCTTATTATTAAAGTATAGAGCTAATTATCATTCAATGTAATTTTATGATTATGATACTAAGTAATATTATTAGTAAATATCGTAACGTATACAATATATTAAGAACAAATATATGTATGCATTATAACAATATATTTTAATCCTGCATAAGAAATATTGTTTCATTTACTCTTATTTTTCTTCAGAACAAGGAAATTATTTTCTCTTTTAATCAAAAAATTTGTATTTGTCATCACAAAATCATATTATTAAATATTATGAGTTTGTCAAGGTAAGAGGTTTGTAGAGAGATGATAATCACTATCATGAGTTCGCAGAGATAAGAGATTTATAGTGTCTTTATAATTTTTTTAATGATAAGTATTACTATAACTTAAAAATCTATCTAGAAATATAATATTTTTTTATTTTCATGATTTATATCATTCTACAAAGATGTTAGTTATTGTGATGATTTTTATCTTAGATAAATACACTGGTAATTGATCATAATCATATGATCATTATCATAATTCAAACATTTTAATTTGAAATTGTAACGAAAATCAATAATTATTAATATACGGTTATTATATTCATGCATATTTGTTTAATTAAAATTTTTTACTTACCTTGTTATCATGATTCCTTCACTAAAAGGTCCCGGAAATAAATTAGTCCAAAAAAAGTGTAATCGCTAATTAAATCACAAAATCACGTCAATTCAATAAATTCACAAATAGTCCAATGTATAGTTCCTTTAATTATTGGTGTCACAAACACACGAATCAAGAGAATTTTTCTACTCGATCACACCTCACCCCAGCATAATGTCCAGCGGTCCGGTGGCGTTAAACCTTTATATACCTGAGTGGATTTTTCCGTCTTAGAAGATGCAGATCGAGGCCTAAAGTTAGGTCACGTGGTCGTGAACCACCCCCCTGCTTTCCTCCTAGCAGACAACGGTAACCCACTTATGGTAGGAATATCATCTCTAGAATACAGACTCTCGCAAAACTTTCTTCGATTGATCCAAGACTTGATCAAGTTTTTTTTAATTCTTGTTTTTATGAAATGGAAAGAGAGTGTGTTTCTCTCTATTGCAACTGTGTTGACTGAATAGGTGATTTGGTGTTTGAAGTTCCGTAGAATTAAATAATTTAATTTGAAGTATTCAGATTTTAATATGGGAAATGATTAAATTTTCTCTTTCCTCTTTACTTTACTACTTAGTTATATGAAAAAAGAAGTTGTAATATATCGAATGCTCTTAAAAGTATCAGAACATTCCTCGTCAGCTCACATTCTTGATCAAGTTTTTTTTTCTTGTTTTAATGTTATGGGGACGAGGTGTCTCTTCATTGCAGCTTTGTAGATTAGATGAGTGATTTAAAATTTAGCGTTCCATCGAAATGAGAAAATTAAATTGAAGTCTGAAATATTTTAATGAGAGGAATTGAATGGAACTGTACTGTCGAGCAGGAGTCTCCCTAAAATTATGAAGAGAGAGTTTTAATTTCTGAAATGTTTCTCAAAACAGCAAAACTAGTTTTTCGATTGATCACACTCCAATAAAATTTTTTTCAATTATGGATGAAAGTGTTTTTGTTGTAGCTATGCAAATTGACTGAATAATTTATTGTATGAAGTTCCGCTGAAGATAATTAATCCAGCGAGAAATAATCGGCTGTTTGATTTTCATGCAGACTTGTATGACAGTTGAATAATAAACTAGCACAGGTGAAGTACATTGATGAAATATCTTGCCATTTTTTTTAATATTTGTAACATGAAAAAAGTAGTTGCACTTTATTAAATGCAATTAGAAATATCAGGTTACATCCTTGATGAATTTTTTTTTATTGGGGATGAGGGGGTGGGGATTTTTATTTATTATGGGAACGAGAATGTGTCTCTTCATTAGATGAATGATTTAAAAGTTAATGTTCTATTGAAATGAGCAAATTAAGTTGAAATCTAAAATATTTTAATATGGGAAGGGAATGTAACTGTATTGTCCATCAGGAGATCTGTACTGTGGAACAAGAGACTCTGTACTGTTTCTAAAATTATAAATAGAAAGTTTTAATTTCTGAAATATTTGATCACGCAGATTGATCACAAATTTTTTCCATTATGGAAAAATGTGTTTTTGTTGTACTTATGCAGATTGACTGAATAATTTATAATTTGAAGTTCCGCTAAAGATTATTAATCCATCGAAAAATAATCGGCTGTATGATTTTCATGCAGACTTGTATGACAGTTAGATAATAAACTAGTACAAGTGTAGTACACTGATAAAACATCTTACTATTTTGTTTTTTGCTTCTTTTTGAAATCAATGAATGCAATTATTGAAATGACTTTTCTAAACATCAACTCAACTGATAATCTTGCAGAGCTCATTAAATGTTAAGGCAGGTCTTGATCTTTTGGTGTACAATATTGACAGAATTGAAGCTACTGACATGGAATATTCCATAAATTAGGAATCCAAAATCATAGGGACTGTAATTTTCATTTCCAGAGTAATAATTTCATTTAAAGTGCTTTCAAACTGTTTATATGACTGTATATTTTTTAGAATTCCTTAATAGAGAAAAAAAATGTAAAATTATAATTAAAAACATTTTACTTTTTTAAGCATTTTTTCATTTTAGAAGTTTTTATAAGTCTGAAACTTTTTTAAAAATTGAAATGTAAATTAAATGGAAACCAAAATATATTTTCATAAAATTATTAGAACTACGAGGTTTTTTTTTAAAACTGAGTAATAAGCTTTTGAAGTTCGTAAATACGACGTCGTGAATAGTGGAATCATCTTAATATTAGACGATATCCTTTTGTAATCATATACAGTATAATGAAAATTAATTTTATTTCGCTTAACAGTACTTCCGTGTTGAAACTTTGAAATCGAATTAAAATTAAGTAATAATAATAATAATAAGGATAAATAATAATAAGGATAAATAATAATAATTGAGATTACAGTAAATATAGTAATATACGGAAACGTTGTTTCTATGAAACTGCCCAATTTCAAAATTATAGATTAGTATTTGGAGAAAATACGAACTATTATATGTTGCCATATGCGAAATCAGAGTAAAAAAATAAGATTATTGACATTACAACTAGATCGTTTGTCCGTTTCCTAAATTGAATCAAAATTATAACAATATCAATATTATAATCCTAATCCTAATTTTTTTTAACCTGATGGACGTTATTACAAGACAAAATTTCAAAATTTTGATTGATGTCTAGAGAAAAATATGGGCTAATGTATATTGCTATGCTATGTAATGTAAATGTATATACCTCTTGAGGTAGCCGTAACATTACAATATAAAGGGTTCATTGTAATTCTAAGGCTATAAGCAGGAGAGCAAAATTATGACATTGACAAATTGACACTTTCTGCTAAGAACCATTGTTCCTTATAAAACTTAGATAGTGTCTCTCATGGTAGATTCTGTTCTGTTATTTCTAATCCACACTGATAAAAAATTATCTTTTATTACGATATGTAATTAAGCCGCAAACGTGTTTCAAATTTATATCTATATTTAACAGTATGGCGCTATTTAAATGAAAACACATGACTCAACTTAATACCTCATCAAAATCACACCAAATTTAAAACAATATTATAATCCTAATCTTTGTTATTATTGACCAGTAGAGCCATGATTTTTGAACCTCATTATCAAGGATCATGATCTTATCATGGAAATGATGAGCGACTTTATTAAGAGATGTGCACTTAAATTTCAAATTTCCATCCAATGGGAGTAAATTTATCTTTGGAAAAAGAGCAGCGTAGGGAATATCACGCAAGGACATTTATTTAAAAAAATTGGAGTGGGGAATACCGGGCAATGTGATTATGTGCGTTTTATCTCACATAACAAATGGCTTTGTTATTTTTATTAGTAATACTCAGCATAACCAATATAATAAATTGGCGGGAAGAGGGCCATTGATGGTTTACTCTTGTCTAGCATTCCCTACACTGGTGTTTTAAGGGAAAGGACCATTATCCAGTATTTTCTTCTTTGATGTATTTCAACATTAATGGCCATTGTCCTTTACTGACAATCTGTTGTAAATATAAAGGGTCGCAGTAAGTATATCATTGCCGTCTTCAAGCAAAAAAAAAAAAAAAAAAAAAACAAGAATATATGGAGGAAACTTAGAAATGAAATGTTCACTGTCGGATCTTATCAATCTGCATATGATGAGACTAGACATTTTTTTTTAACATCTAAGAAAATTATATCATCAGTTTTATGAGAATAGCAGGTTAACTAACTGCCTATGCTGTTTGACCTACTTTGGTTTTAAGCAAATAAAAATTCGAAAATATCGGTTTTCTGTTAGAAAAAAAAAGATTTAAATGTTTTTCGTTATAAGAGGTTCTAATGAGGTAAATTTTCAACAATATTCTTCTTCAACTACACAGATTTGATACGTTAACTTGTATTAATTAATATATTTCATTGCTTACAATACACATTTTAAAGTAAAGTTGTAACATATATTTGCCTAATTTCATCTTAGTCACTTAGTAATTATTTTTGAACCGACAACCAAGATATTATCGACGTTAATGTAGTAAATAATTTTACTACATAAATGTAGTAAAAATCCCTCGTCAGCGGAGTTCGTGCAAGTATGGTATTTATTCACATTTAACGAAATGATACAGATTTACCTTTGAAACACCTTGCTACATATTTACTTCAAAATGCACATAAATCAACATGAAGTACGTCAAAAAGGAGGTTATAAAAATAATATCGGACAATAAATAGTAATAAGGTCATGAACAAAGTAATAAAACAAGGTTCTTTAAACAGAAACAAAGAAAAATTTTAGTAAAGCATTTATCATGTTTTCAATTATTTATTATGCATACGTGGTAGTTATAGAATAAAATAATTACTTTTAAGCTGATGATCACGGCAAAAGTAAAACAATCATTATTCTTGTAAAAGACATAAAAATAAATTCTAATTAGCTTTCTTGGAATTTTATATGAATAATTTGTAATTACTTTATTTGCAACAAATTTATGATACTTATTTTAAATAACTAGACATGTCAGAGTAAAATGAAAAGGAAAAATTCTTTAAATTTTATTAGAAAGACAATTATATTAGAAAATGGAATTTTTAAAAAGAAAATAATAGAATTTTAATATAATTTTCAATAATAACATTTGGATACTTTGCATACTCAGCCTCTCTCTTTTTAATTTTTATAATTGTTTTACGTTAAACCAAAATCGTAGGGTCTTTCTATATCTAGGTTGTCAATACTTGAATAATACATAAAGCCATAGGTTCCGCAGAGATATAATTTAAAAAGTGTCACTAAGCCACTCGAAGTGGAGGTGGTTTGATGATGTCATGACCGTCGTGGAATATCGGGCACGGTATTTCCTACACGTTAAAGTTTTTTCTTTCTTTTTCTAATGCCCACCTGTGTTAACATCCTACAATTCAGGCATTTACAGGGCAATTTTGTTGACCTCTCTTTCAGGGGCGCCATATTAGGTGGGCCAACATCGCTCCCACAGTAGGGACAGATAGTACAGAGAAGGAAAGAACATCCATGCCTTGCCCGGGATTCGAACCCACAACCTTTCTGATGCAAGGACAGTTCCCTGCCCCCCAAGCAGGCCTGTCTGCTGTTAAAGTAATTAGTGGTATTGTGACTATCAATTGCTTTAAAAGGAGCTATATGCATCAAAGTAAAGTTTTTATAATCATGCATGACAAACGAGGCATCTGAATGCAAATTCTTTCATGAGAATTATTAAAAATGCTATACTGCTTGATTTCAGGATGA